CACCCCCATAGCCAAAGTGGGGTGTAATCAGCAGAGCAAGCAAAGCAGTACAAGCTCAGGGTGGATCACAATGTCACCACACATTCTGAGCACAAGTTTAAGAAGCAATAGTTTAAAGTTCACAATTATGAGCAAAGCTAGTGGTAGTCACAACGGGGAAGTGAGGAGGAGGAGGGCTGGCGAGAGGAGAGTAGATGGGAGGCGACGACTGAAGCTGCAGTCACACGGGCAACAGACGGCTCTGGTGCGACACAGTGGCTACCGGGAGTGAGTGCCCCGGAGTACAGGAGTAACAGGCTCCGCGGCTAAGACGAGCAGCAGGAGCAACGGACCCACAGGCGACGGCGCAACCGGCTCTCTGAGCTACCGGGAGTGAGTGCCCCGGAGTACAGGCGCTGCGTACGACACGACGGCAACCTCCCCTCAACCTCCCCCAACAGTCCCACATCCCTCGACACACACCCGCTGCTACACCGCTAGCTCCACTCCCCCTTCACCCCCCCTTAGTACCACTCCGACGGCTCCAACAGGTCCACCCCCCTCAGCGGCAGCTGCAGCACAGGGAGACGGAGGAGGAGGAGGAGCAGGGAACGGCACACAGAAGCTGCACCCCCATACCCCCCAACCCCAAACCCTAATCCAGGAGAACGGGCAGAAGGAGGGGTGGGGCGCCTTCAGAAGCACGGGGGACAGCGGGGAGGACAGGGGCAGCGAAGAACGGGGCGCCCACGGGCCTGGCACAGCCTCCCGAACCGCGCGCAGGACTGGCGCAGCCCGTACGGGCCGCGCGCGTGCCTGGCGCAGCCCGTACGGGCCGCGCGCGGGCCTGGCGCAGCCCGTACGGGCCGCGCGCGGGCCTGGCGCAGCCCGTACGGGCCGCGCGCCGGGTGTACGGGCCGCGCGCAGGCCACGACGGGCGACGGGGGGCGACGCGCGGGTCCCCGTCGCCCGTCGCAGCGCCTCCCGGGGGCGACGTGCCGAGTGACGGGGCAGGAACCCGTCGCGCGCCTCGGGGCACACGGCGGGCAGAGAACCGCCGCGCGCCTCGGGGCGCACGGCGGGCAGAAAACCGCCGCGCGCCTCGGGGCGCACGGCGGGCTGAAAACCCTAGTTTCGACGCCGCGCACCACGGGGCGCGCGGCGGACAGGGAGTAGCAGTAGCAGCGGAAGCAGTGAAGTGGGCCCACAGGCCAGGAACGTTAAGCTCTGATACCATGTTGAGATAAGCGGTAGTCTTAGGAGCCATAGCTAGGAGAGTCCTAGCTAGGCAAGAGAGTTTAGGCGAAAGAGGGGGGTTGCACTAGCAAGAATGGGGATACAAATAGCAAACCCTAGAAGGGTTGTACTCGCTACAGAGCACCCCACTACAGGCTAGAGCATAATATTCTGACACAGAGTACAACTTACCGAAGGTTTGTCCAGAGGTTTGTTCTCCAGGTTGAACGTACCGAATCTTGTTGCCGGTGGGCAAGCGGATCCAGTAGGGAATGGGCCGGTTCTGCTTCACTTTCAAGCCATTCGAGAATTCTGACCGTAAAACGATCCTAGGAGACAAAGGTGGTGGAACTTACAACATTTAGTTTTCTGGCATTTAATAAAATATATATATTACTCCTTTTACTTCCGAACGTATTGAATCTTGTTGTCGGTGCGCAGGTGGATCCAGTAGGGGATGGGCCGGTTCTGCTTCATCTTCTTCGCGAGCTTGATCTTAATGCGGAAGGCCTTGTGGGACGGCTGTGCGGTGCCGTTCGGTGTCATGCGGTGGGGGGCGAGGGGGGGGGGGGCGGGGGGGGAGGGGAGGAGGGGGAAGAAGAAGTGGGGTTGGGTGGGGTGAGGTGGGTGCGGTGAAGGCGCGATGGGAGCAGGGAGCGAAAAGGTTATTATTAGGCCACCGAGGAGAAAGGGTTCTCTACGTAAGCTTGATAGATATTAATTGACGTCGCATTACTTCCGTATAATTCGTGTGGGTCGATTGGGCCAGACAGAGGTACTAGGTAAGGTCAAAGTAAGAGGGAATGGGCCATAAATGACGACGGAGAGACGCAGGCATTTGTTCGAACGAATGACTTTGCACCCTTTCGTTCATTCGAAACTCGAGCACCTAACCCTAGCCCGTAAACGCAAAGCATGTCAGGTTGAGACCCTAAACCTAACACGCCCTAGCTTTGATTGGTCCCTGTGTGAGACCGTACGAACGCAAGGGTGCAGGGCTTGCTCATAACAGCAAACCCTAAAATCGCGAACTAGACAGATTTGGAGCAGGTAATTAGCCGGCCATCGACACAGCGAGAAGTAACTGCGGTAAGAATGCCACGACAGAGGTAGCGCGACAATTTAAAACACACGCGGCAGGAAGGCTAAGGAGGGAACTAACCATGGCGGCAAGTTAGGGTGGAGCAGCAGCAGCAGCACGCGTGTGGGTCGTCGTGACCAAGTGAGAAGGGAGGAAAGAGAGGAAAGAGAGAAGAGCAGACTCGCGGCCAGGGTATGATCAGGGCTACTGCAGAGAATGGCGCGGGGGAAAGGTGCACAGGGAATGGCGCTTTGTGGGGACGGAACGGGAATGTGGCGAGGGTAAGGCGGGAAGTGGGCGGGTAAGGGGGAGAAATGGACAAGGAAGTGGGGGAGGAAGCGAGGGACAGGAGGTGCAAGGACAGGAGGGGTAATCTCTTAACTACCTTCCGTTAGTCCCGACGCAGCACTACAGCCTCGTCCTTTTCGAACTTCCATACTTCGGGACTTAGGAAAGCAGATTCGGACTTGTGTTTCTGCAAACACACACCTGTAGTTTCCGAGGTTCGGGGAAAAATTTAGAGGGCAATTGCGAAATAAAATGAGGACGACAAAGCTGGGTGCTGCACCACTCTATATAGAGCATCGCTTTTGAAAAAATCTATTCAGTCAAGAATACTGGCAGCTACACATTTCCATTTGCGGAGTGAAGCTAATACGGCGATGACCTTCAGAAAACATTTATGCTGTTTGCTTTTAGGTGTGCACAAGGAGAGTCTCATAGTGTATCAAACGAAGTGCTGTCAAACAATTTGTAACCAGGTCACGACGTCTGTAAACAAAATCGCGAGATGGAAGCATAATTGCTTTTGCGGCAATCGAAAGCCACAGCGAAATCCTAATCAAGCCTTCGTGGTATTCCGCCGTGTCGCAGGTGCTGCATTTCCCTAGTGCGCACCGCATTATTGGAATTGTGAAGTTGCACACAAAACGTAATTGGAAGGTTGATCTCAGTGAATAATATGTGCCTCTTATAATTCACGAAGCGCACATGTCCTGACCAATGAGTGCTTGAAACACATAATTCGACAGAGCGTGGGAACCGCGCCTGGAGCGAATCTTCAGCTTAAATCTCGAGTTTTTGGAATCTCAATAGCAAACTCTCCGGTGAACGAGATGGCGACCTTGCTGCAGGACGGTGCAGCGACGGTGCAGGACGCGGGGGCGAAGCAGCAGAGCGCGATGCTGAGGGACGGAGCGGGGAAGGTGCAGGCGGGGCTGACCGGGATGGGAGAGGCCATGGATCTTCTGAAAAACGGCTCGACGTCGATTCTGGATGGCACGGGGACGAGTATCTTTGCGCCCGTGAAGGAGGCGGCGGAAACTCTGTTTGCGGGGATGGCGGAGCTGGGGGAGCGGTGGATGCGCTGGGGGGCGGGACGGTGATGGTGGCGGACGGGGTGGAGAAGCGGCAGCAGGAGGTGGTGCGGGACGGGTCGTTGAAACTGCAGGGGGGAATCGCGTCGCTGCAGAAAGCCGTAGGGTTGCTTCTGGATGGCGCGGCGAAACTGCAGGACGCGGCGACCAAGGGGTTGGCGAGATAGCCTAATTCGCCGACCCCTTGGTCGCGAGCTGTTTTTGATGACTCAAGAATCAAATCGAAAGCCGTGGTGTTGCTTCAAGACGGCGCTGTGAAGCTGCAGGATGCTGCGACGAACTAGCATCAGGAGGTGGTGGGGAAGAGAGCAGCAGGAGACCTGATTTGGTTGCGAAGTGCACAGGGGGATATGCAGATACTTCGCTGGTAGATTGTGGTTTGTTTATCTGTAATATAAAAAGTGTGAAAATAATTTTCAGCCAAAAAGCTGAGCGGCAGATACTGTAAGAGAACATTGCGAACAAAGCTGAGCAGGGGTAAGAGGTATGCAATGCATGCAGCCTGTACAACTCAACTCCAATTCTCGTTCTCTGTATGCTGAACATTCTGAAGTGACTAAACTGGCCGGACTGAGCAGTTGTGTTGTGCCATTTCACAGACCTTTGATGCCAGGCCCCAAATTTCAAGGGTAAAATACCCTTTTTGCCCTGATGGTAGGCCGCTTTTTCCCAGTTACCCTTGCAAAAACAGGGTATCAAATTTATTACCCTAGAGCAAACAGGCTAAGATTTGATTTACACTGATAACGATTTCTGTTACCCTGCCGATATCAGGGTGCACTGTATACTTCACAGATACCGAATCCTCTTAGCGAGAGCTTTCCTTGCGAAGCTGCGAAAAATTTTTGTGCACCAGCCAGATTTGAACCTGCGACCTTCGGAATTCTAGCCTCACATCTGACTAACTAAAAAATGTTCTGGTGGTTTTGTTCTAAGAAGTGCAATTGATAAATAAAAACCATTTCATCCTTTTAAAATCAGTGTACATGTTTTTTTAGGCTGTTTTTGGCAGGGTACGAAATATTTTACCCTAACAGTCAGGGTACTGGGGGCCTGGAACCCTGATTTGAAAGAGTGGACCTAAACCTATTTTGGGCCCTGTTTGATGCAAAGTGTACCGTTTGATCACCACTACAATACAATGGTATGATCACTACAATAATAAGCTACGCAGGTATGACATGCCGAATATATGTTATCTGCAGTTATAGCAGACACAGAGCTGCTTCGAGCATGCATCTAACATAGAACCGGAATGTGAAATGTGATGCAATGTATCATAAGAAGGATAGCCCAGAAGGAGGAGATTCCTAAACTGCCTCAATAAATCAAGCAGGAGGGGGGTCGATGGCCTTTTTGGGTTCAAGGCGCATCAGAGTGATCGTGCCGAGGAGATACTCAGGCAGCTCATCTGCAGCTTGTGCCTGGAAAGGGGGAGAGAAACACAAGGGAGGGGGAGATTGAGTGCAAAGGCTTTGTAAAGCCGAGCCTGCGGCGAGGCACATGAGAATGATTGTGCCTAGAAGGTACGCAGGCAGCTCGTCTCCAGCTCTGGCCTGAAAGATGGGGAGATATGAAGGGAAAGGGGCAGGAAGAGCTTTTTGGGCGGAGAGGGAAGGGGAGGGGAGGGGTAAAAGTACGCAGCGCCAGGTCCACGACGCGTGATGTGACGTAGCTGAGCACGAGGCCGACGACGCTGCGCGGCAACTCCACCTCAACATTGATTAACTAACACAAGGCACCAAGGCTCCCACCTCTATGAGCAGAGCCAAGTCCACCAGGAGTGAAGTGACGTAGCTCAGCACGAGGCTGATGACGCTACGAGCCACTGAGGTGCAGGCTGAACGCACCAAGGGTGACTCGCATCACACAAGGCATCGAGAGCTCACCTCAATGAGCAATGCTAGGTCCACCACGAGTCAGGTGACATAGCTCAGCACGAGGCTGATGACGCTGCGAGCGACGAGAATGTACCAGACTGGCTTGCACATGACAAGGCTCTCACCTCAATGAGCAATGCTAGGTCCACCACGAGTGAGGTGACGTAGCTGAGCACGAGGCCGATGACGCTACGAGCCACTGAGGACGACCCCACGTCCACGTCCATCTGGTTGAGTGCGGTTCAATGGGGTACAATGGGGTCGGTGTATGGGTGAAGGGCAAGGGGGAATGTGGAGAATGAATGAGGACGGTTGAATGGGTTGCAGAAGGAGAACAAGCCAGGAAGGCCGATGGTTAAAATGGGTGAAGAGCAAAGGTCATAGGGCCAACCCATATATATCTCTATATATATTCATATGTATATATGTATATATATTTATATATATATGAGATACATTGTGGGACCTCTTTTCCCTCCCTCCAGCCTCCTTCCCTACCTCCAGGTAGTTCTCGCCCTTGAAATAGCTGCAAGTCAGTGCCTTGCCCAGAATAGCAGCTTTTGTTCCAACTGCCCGTTTTACTGCCCAGAAGCCCTGCGGTCAGAAGGGCAGTCGGACAGGGTGATGCAGAAAGAATAGGAAGGGGAAGAGAGGGTATTGAGAAGGAATTGAGAGGGGTGCAAATGAGCTGAGTTCGGTCCAGATCAGCAGCCCTGCGGTCAGAAAAGCCGTCAGAAAGGGCAGTATGTAGGTGGCAGGAAGCGAGGGTATTGAGACAAAATTGAGAAGGAGGTGGCAGGAGAAGGAAATACAGGGAAGGCCAGCGAAACTGCCACACACGCTGGGGAGGGAGGGGAATGAGCTTGAATCGGCCGTTTAGAGACGTCACAAAAACAAATCTTCTTTCTTGAAGGAAAGGAAATAGAAGGAAGGCCTTTGAAGTTGCCACGCACGCACCTCCTCAATGCGAGGGATGAGCTTGAAGCGGCTGACCTGTTCCTGAAGGCATCATCCTGGGCGTTGACCAACCTCCCCAGGAGAGAGTCGGGCTTGACAAGTCTCACATACACACGGACAAATACGCGTCTTAACACACGAGCAGAGAGCAAATGTCCTAGGCACACAAACACACCTCCTCAATGTGGGGGATGAGCTTGAAGCGGCTGTTCCTGAAGGAGTTATCCTCACCGTTCACAAACCTCCCCAGCAGAGAATCGGGAATTGACAGGTCTTACACACACTCACAGACACATACGTGCCTTAACACACTAGCAGAGAGAACCCTATGCACACAATCACACACGCACATACACACCTCCTCAATGCGGGGGATGAGCTTGAAGCGGCTGTTCCTGAATGCGTCATCCTCTGCGTTCACAAACCTCCCCAGGAGAGAGTAGAGGTATTGAGCTCATGGGTTATACCGCCCCACCCCTTCATCACACACACACACACACACACACACACACACACACACACACACACACACACACACACACACACACACACACGCACCTCCTCGATGCGGGGGATGAGCTTGAAGCGGCTGTTCCTGAAGGAGTCATCCTCAGCGTTCACAAACCTCCCCAGAAGGGAATCTTTCTTGACGGGGCGATCGGCAGCAAAGTAAGCGACGCACGAGTAGTTGGGCTTGCCGGGTACTTGCAGGTTGAGAACGAAGACAAATGGCAGCTTCTTTCCTGCTTCCGACTGGGGAAAGGGGAAGAGGAAGGGGGGAGGGGAGGCGAAGTAACACACGAGTAGTTGGGCTTGCCGGGTACTTGCAGGTTGAGAACGAAGACAAACGGCAGCTTCTTCCCTGCCTCCGACTAAGAGAAAGGAGAGGGGGTATGGGGGTTGGTGAAAGGGGGAGGGGGAGGGAAAGGGAAAGAGAGGGAGGTTGCAGCGGTTGTTCCCCTAAAGGAGATATCTTGGCTGTTGACGAACATCCACAGCAGCGAGTGGGGCTTGACGGGGCGATCGGAAGCAAAGTAAGCGACACACGAGTAGTTGGGCTTGCCGGGTACTTGCAGGTTGAGAACGAAGACAAGCGGAAGCTTCTTCCCTGCTTCGGACTGGAAAAGAGCAGGGGGATGCGGGTGGGCAGCAAAGTAAGCGACATAAGAGCAGTTGGGTTTGCCGGGTACTTGCAGGTTCAAAACAAAGACGAACGGCAGTTTCTTCCCAGCTTCCGACAAGGAAAGGAGGAGTGGGAGGAGAGGAGGGAGGGGGAGGGGATTTTTGAGGCGCCTCAAAAGTACCCTCCCCAATTTTCTTTTCTCCCTTTCTTCCCCCTTTCCTTCCTCTCGTCCCACTTCTACACCCACGTCTCCCTCACATTTCCTCATATCCCCTCACATCCTCTCACAACCCCTCACATCCCCTCGTAACCCCTCACATCCCATCACATCCCCCTCACATCACCTCACATCCCCCTCACATCCCCTCACATCCCCTTCACATGCATGACAGACCTGGGTCGGGCGGCCACGTTGTCAATGCGTGAATCGGACTTGAACCAGTTCACTGCCAGTCGCTGCCATTCCATCTCTCTTCCCTCTCTTTCCCCTTCTCCTTCTCTTTCACCTCTCCCCCTCTCCCCCTCTCTCCCTCTCCCCCTCTACCCCTTTCCCAAACACCTCACCTGCATGACAGAGCCAGGTCGTGCTGCCACGTTGTCAATGCGCGAGTCAGTCTCGAACACTCCACTGCCAGTCACTCTCTCTTCCCACTCTTACCCCCTGCACCATCTCAACCTCGCCCACACATCCCCTTACATCTCCCCTCCACGCCCCTCACCTGCATGACAGAGCCAGGCCGTGCTGCCACGTTGTCAATGCGCGAGTCTGCCTTGAACCAGTCCACTGCCAGGAGGGAGAGCAGCGGCTGGGCTGCGGGAATCTGAAATGCAGGGAAAGAGGGGAGGGGAGAGGGCCACAAGAGGAATCCTGAGGCGCCTCAAAAGATGCGGCCACGTTGTCAATGCGCGAGTCAGACTTGAACCAGTCCACTGCCAGGAGCGAGAGCAGCGGCTGGGCTGCTGGGATCTGCAGAGGGAGTGTTAGGTGGACGGGGGTGGGGGAGGAGAGGGCAAGAGAGAAGAGGGTGCGAGAAGATCTGACTTGAACCAGTCCTCTGCCAGAAGGGAGAGAAGAGGCTGGGATGCTGGGATCTGAAATAGGGAGGGGGATGGGACAGGGGAGAGGGGAGAGGGGAGGGAGATAAGAGAGGGCGACAGAGAGAGAGGCTGTCAATGCGGGAGTCTGACTTAAACCAGTCCACAGCCAGGAGCGAGAGCAGCGGCTGGGCTGCTGGGACCTAAGAGGGAAGAGGGGAAGAGTGAGGAAGACGAGAGAGAGAACTATAAGGGCGAGGGGAGGGGTAAGAAAGAGGCACATGGGCCCCGCCTTTTGAGGGGCCCACCTTGGCCCCCTCAGAGAGATATATGGCGCCCCACCTTTTGAGGGGCCCACCTTGGCCCCCTCAGAGAGATATATGGCGCCCCACCTTTTGAGGGGCCCACCTTGGCCCCCTCAGAGAGATATATGGCGCCCCACCTTTTGAGGGGCCCACCTTGGCCCCCTCAGAGAGATATATGGCGCCCCACCTTTTGAGGGGCCCACCTTGGCCCCCTCAGAGAGATATATGGCGCCCCACCTTTTGAGGGGCCCACCTTGGCCCCCTCAGAGAGATATATGGCGCCCCACCTTTTGAGGGGCCCAACTTGGCCCCCTCAGAGAGATATATGGCGCCCCACCTTTTGAGGGGCCCACCTTGGCCCCCTCAGAGAGATATATGGCGCCCCACCTTTTGAGGGGCCCACCTTGGCCCCCTAAGAGAGATATATGGCGCCCCACCTTTTGAGGGGCCCACCTTGGAACCCTCAGAGAGATATATGGCGCCCCACCTTTTGAGGGGCCCACCTTGGCCCCCTCAGAGAGATATATGGCGCCCCACCTTTTGAGGGGCCCACCTTGGCCCCCTCAGAGAGATATATGGCGCCCCACCTTTTGAGGGGCCCACCTTGGCCCCCTCAGAGAGATATATGGCGCCCCACCTTTTGAGGGGCCCACCTTGGCCCCCTCAGAGAGATATATGGCGCCCCACCTTTTGAGGGGCCCACCTTGGCCCCCTCAGAGAGATATATGGCGCCCCACCTTTTGAGGGGCCCACCTTGGCCCCCTCAGAGAGATATATGGCGCCCCACCTTTTGAGGGGCCCACCTTGGCCCCCTCAGAGAGATATATGGCGCCCCACCTTTTGAGGGGCCCACCTTGGCCCCCTCAGAGAGATATATGGCGCCCCACCTTTTGAGGGGCCCACCTTGGCCCCCTCAGAGAGATATATGGCGCCCCACCTTTTGAGGGGCCCACCTTGGCCCCCTCAGAGAGATATATGGCGCCCCACCTTTTGAGGGGCCCACCTTGGCCCCCTCAGAGAGATATATGGCGCCCCACCTTTTGAGGGGCCCACCTTGGCCCCCTCAGAGAGATATATGGCGCCCCACCTTTTGAGGGGCCCACCTTGGCCCCCTCAGAGAGATATATGGCGCCCCACCTTTTGAGGGGCCCACCTTGGCCCCCTCAGAGAGATATATGGCGCCCCACCTTTTGAGGGGCCCACCTTGGCCCCCTCAGAGAGATATATGGCGCCCCACCTTTTGAGGGGCCCACCTTGGCCCCCTCAGAGAGATATATGGCGCCCCACCTTTTGAGGGGCCCACCTTGGCCCCCTCAGAGAGATATATGGCGCCCCACCTTTTGAGGGGCCCACCTTGGCCCCCTCAGAGAGATATATGGCGCCCCACCTTTTGAGGGGGCCACCTTGGCCCCCTCAGAGAGATATATGGCGCCCCACCTTTTGAGGGGCCCACCTTGGCCCCCTCAGAGAGATATATGGCGCCCCACCTTTTGAGGGGCCCACCTTGGAACCCTCAGAGAGATATATGGCGCCCCACCTTTTGAGGGGCCCACCTTGGCCCCCTCAGAGAGATATATGGCGCCCCACCTTTTGAGGGGCCCACCTTGGCCCCCTCAGAGAGATATATGGCGCCCCACCTTTTGAGGGGCCCACCTTGGCCCCCTCAGAGAGATATATGGCGCCCCACCTTTTGAGGGGCCCACCTTGGCCCCCTCAGAGAGATATATGGCGCCCCACCTTTTGAGGGGCCCACCTTGGCCCCCTCAGAGAGATATATGGCGCCCCACCTTTTGAGGGGCCCACCTTGGCCCCCTCAGAGAGATATATGGCGCCCCACCTTTTGAGGGGCCCACCTTGGCCCCCTCAGAGAGATATATGGCGCCCCACCTTTTGAGGGGCCCACCTTGGCCCCCTCAGAGAGATATATGGCGCCCCACCTTTTGAGGGGCCCACCTTGGCCCCCTCAGAGAGATATATGGCGCCCCACCTTTTGAGGGGCCCACCTTGGCCCCCTCAGAGAGATATATGGCGCCCCACCTTTTGAGGGGCCCACCTTGGCCCCCTCAGAGAGATATATGGCGCCCCACCTTTTGAGGGGCCCACCTTGGCCCCCTCAGAGAGATACATGGCGCTCTGCCTCGCCTTTTGAGGCACGAGTTCACACTCACAATCCTGAACCAGAGGGAGGAACCAAGCTTACCTTGATTACATCAGAGAGGTACGTGGCCCCGCGCACACAGAAGTTGTCAGCAGCAGCCTGCTTCCACGCATGGGCGTCCTTGGGGTCCACTCCCAGCGGCAGCGACGCCTGCGCCCTGAGCTTCTCCCCTTGTGCTCTCACTGCTCTCACTGCAGGTAGGCCAGGGAGAGTCCATACCTTGATTCCGTCAGAGAGGTATGTAGCGCCGCGCACACAGAAGTTGTCAGCAGCAGCCTGCTCCCACGCATGGGCGTCCTTGGGATCCACTCCCAGAGGCAGCGACGCCTGCGCCCTGAGCTTCTCCAGAGGGAGGAACCAAGCTCACCTTGATGCCATCAGAGAGGTACGTAGCGCCGCGCACACAGAAGTTGTCAGCAGCGGCCTGCTTCCACGCATGGGCGTCCTTGGGGTCCACTCCCAGCGGCAGCGACGCCTGCGCCCTGAGCTTCTCCCCCACGGCCAGCAGGTCGGTGGGCGTGACGTCTGTTTGCAGTTCCCTGCGCACCTCCCAGCGCTCCTTGTCCGCCTCCTCCTCCTCCACCAGGAACACTGTTGAGAGAGAGAAGGAATGGGAAGGAGGAAGGAAGAGGGCGAGGGAGGGAGAGGGACTCACAAGGTAGCACACCCACTACCTAATCGCTCACCTGCCTCCCTATACGGCACACATATCCCCCACCCAGGCATTCCTCCTGCAACTCAGACCCCATCAAGGGACTTGAAACTGCCCACAGACTCGCACATCTTGTCTCAGGACTCACGGGATCGCAGGCGGAAGCCAAACTGCACCATCCACTTGCACATATCCCCCACCCACACAGTCATTCCTGCTGCAACTCACACCCCATGGCCCTCACAGCAACCCACGCCTTGTCTCAGGACTCACAGGATCGCAGGCGGAAGCCGAATTGCACCATCCACTTGAGCCCCTGCCAGCGCGCCTTGGCCGATACCTTCTCCTGCAATGGGAGGGGAATGGAGGAGAGAGCGGAAGACGGCATGGGATGGGAGAGAGAGTGAGTGACAAGGGAATGGGATAGGGAGAGGGATTGCGGGAAAAAAGAAGAGAGCGAGTGCAAGGAGAGAGAGTGTGAGGGAATAGAGGGACCAAAGGAGTGGGGATAGGTTTTGGTAGCCCGTCCTATGGGGCCTATATAACACGGGTCTGTATAGTGGCTTTGGCTTTACTTCGGCTGCGCCCTATCCTCTTATACTCATTATAAGCATGTGCACAAAGACACCTTAACGGGTTCGGCCTCCTCCCTTTTAGCGTCAAAGAATTGGTCTTCAAGGCTCTCAGTCCTCTCCATCGGGCTCGCAACCACCTCTCTCTTGCTCCTCTGCTACCCCTGTCTCCTCCTCTCCTCATGTACTTGCTGTAATAACTCCTTATAAGCAGACAACATCACACACCTTAGCGGGTTCGGCCTCCTCCCCTTCAGCGTCAAAGAACTGGTCTTCAAGGCTCTCAGTCCTCTCCATCAGATTCGCAACCACCTCTAACTTGCTCCTGTCGTACCCCCCTTCTCCTCCTATCTTGTACTCGTTATAAGCACAACTCGCTATAAGAAAACAACACTCACCTTAGCGGGTTCAGCCTCCTCCCCTTCAGCATCAAAGAACTAGTCTTCAAGGCTCTCAGTCCTCTCCATCAGGCTAGCAGCCACCTCCCACTTTCTCCTCTGCTACCCCCCTCCCCTCCACTCCTCTTGTACTCGTTATAAGCATGTGCTCACACGCACCTTAGCGGGTTCGGCCTCCTCCCCTTCAGCGTCAAAGAACTGGTCTTCAAGGCTCTCGGTTCTCTCCATCAAACTCGCAACCATCTCCTCCGTGTTCCTCTCCACATGCTCCTCCATGGCGGGCTGTGCTGCGAAATACTCCCTCAGGCCTGCAAGGGTAAGGAGGGAGCGAGGGAGAGAGGGAGGGCAGCTCATCAATTCATCAGGCTATCAACCATCTCCGCTGTGTTCCTCTCCACATGCTCCTCCATGGCGGGCTGTGCTGCGAAATACTCCCTCAGGCTTGCAAGTGTTGATGGGTTTACGCACGGCAGTTTGGGTTCGATTGGGTGTTGTAAGAAAACGAGCTCAGCAGGGAAGTAGGCTGGCAACCATCTCCTCCGTGTTCCTCTCCACATGCTCCTCCATGGCGGGCTGTCCTGCGAAATACTCCCTCAGGCCTGGGGAAGGGATGGGCCAGCATGATAGGGGAACGTTCAATTAGGGGGATACAGCGCGGTTGGGATAGGTGGGGGGACAGCAACCACCTCCTCCGTGTTCCTTTCCACATGCTCCTCCATGGCGGGCTGTCCTGCGAAATACTCCCTCAGGCCTGTGGGAGGGGTGGGGTGGGGGAGATAGACAGGTACGAAGTGACAAGGAGTTTAAATGACAGGGTAAGCACCTACTCTGTGTTCCTCTCCACCTGCTCGAACATAGCCGGCTGCGCTGCGAAATACTCCCTCACAGGCCTGGGAGAGGGGAGAGGGATGGGACGAAGGGGATGAGGTGGGTGGGTAGGTAGGTGGAGTGGATACAAGGAGGTTGAGTGTGGAGGAAACGGGATGCATTAGGTAGGAGGAAACAAAGAGGCTGAGTGGGGAGGGAGGGACAACAACCTCACGGTTGAGTACATCGCGGCTTCCCAGCATTTTGCGTTTTTCCAGCAAATGCACCACCTGCCCACCCGCCTCCCCACCTTCCACTCCACCTCCCCACATTCCCCACCTCCCCACCTCTCCCCACCTCTACCCACCTAAACCAGTGCGAGCAGCATGCTGCACCACTCTTCACCACTCTCAACCACCTCTCCATACCTGCAATGCGGCACAGCGACGCGTACGGGAACGAATCCGCAAACTCCTCAAACGCCACATGCGCGTCTGCCTCCTCCTCCACCTCCCCACCTCAAACAGTGCGAGCAGCACGCTCCACCACTCTACACCACCATACACCACATTGAACCACCTTCCCACAACAACCCATACCTGCGATGCGGCAGAGGGACGCGTACGGGAACGAGTCTGCAAACTCCTCAAACGCCACATGCGCATCGGCCTCCTCCTCCACCTCCCCACTTCCCGCAACCACCACTCCTGCTCCCCCTCCCCCTCCACCTCCTCCCACCGCTCCTCCTGTAGACGACGACTTGGGCAGCTTCTCATCCTTCTCCTTCTCCTTCTTCTCCCTCATAAGACCCTTAATAAACGAAATCGGCTTCCCTGCAGCGGCTTTCGCCACTCCAGCGACGGCACCGGGGAGGGAGGAGTGCACCGGAGAGGACGTGCTAGCGGAGTAGAGGTGGGACGGGGCGGGGGAGACAGAGAGTTTGCTGGGGGTGGGGGGAACGGGGCTGTCGGAAAGGCGGGAGGAGGGCGAGGAGGAGAGAGAGGGCGCGGTGCCGAGCTCGATAACGTGTCGCACGAGGCACTTCACGTGGCCCGACTTGGGGCGGGCGGGGGTGAGGGGCAGGATGTCCCACGATCCCACTGGTTGGGGGAAAGGAGAAGAGAACAAAAGGGGGAAGAGGGGGGATAAAAGGAGTAGGTTGGAAAGCGGGGCGGGTGAGACAGAGCGCTTGCTGGGGGTGGGGGGAACGGGGCTGTCGGAAAGGCGGGAGGAGGGGGAGGAGGAGAGGGAGGGCGCGGTGCCGAGCTCGATGACGTGGCGCACGAGGCACTTCACGTGGGGCGGTCTGGGGTCAGCGGCAGGATGTCCCACGATTCCACTGGATGAGAGGAAGGATTGTGAACGAGAGGGGCAGACGGGGGAGGGATGGGAAATGGGTGATTCAATCAAAAGTGCTGACTTGGGATATTTTCGCAGATCAATGCTTCACAAGTCTCAGGGGACATTTGGAGGGAGGGCAGGGCAGGAAAGAGCAGGGCAGCACTTACATGCGAATTCAAGGCGAGGGCGGTGGGCATTGGGGGGCTTGGAGTCATGGTTGGTGTTGAACGTGGTGATACCTGAGGGAAGGTTGGAGACATGGGAGGGTTGAAGGGGGGAATAATAGGCGAGGGAGTTTGAGGGGGCTCAAACAACGGCGGTCATTGGGTGGCTTGGAGTCATGGTTGGTGTTGAACGTGGTGATACCTGAGGGAAGGTTGGAGACATGGGAGGGTTGAAGGGGGGAATAATAGGCGAGGGAGTTTGAGGGGGCTCAAACAACGGCGGTCATTGGGGGGCTTGGAGTCATGGTTGGTGTTGAACGTGGTGATACCTGAGGGAAGGTTGGAGACATGGGAGGGTTGAAGGGGGGAATAATAGGCGAGGGAGTTTGAGGGGGCTCAAACAACGGCGGTCATTGGGTGGCTTGGAGTCATGGTTGGTGTTGAACGTGGTAATGCCTGGGGGAGAGTTGGTTGAGAGGAGGGCATGGGAGGGTTGGGAGAGAGAAGGGCGTACAGGAAGGGAGAGAGAGAGCGTGATGGGACAAGGGCTTGGAGTCATGGTTGGTGTTGAAAGAGTGATGCATGGGTGACTTTTGAGTCGACTCAAAAGTCAGCAGGAAGAGAGAGGACTTGAGAAGACAAGAGCTTGGAGTCATGGTTGGTGTTGAACGTGGTGATGCCTGGGGGAAGGTTGGAGGGGAAATGAGAGGGTTGGGGGAGAGAAGGGCGAGCAG